AAACAAGCAGCAAGCCAGTGATGTCGATGAAAACAAGGCAATGACATATGCCATTCGTGAAATCGTCAGGGGGCTAACTTTGTGTCCCTAGATACTGCAAGCAATTGAGCACTGATCTTCGAAGTGAAATGACTTGTCCCCTTGCAAGAAATACAACTGAATCAACGGCATGTGGCCATCCAGCCACAAAATGCCGCCATCCTGAAGGTTGCGCCAACCGCTGATTGAGCAAAGTCAAAGCCATTGCTCTCTTTTTTTTAAGGACCCCCTTGCTTGGTTTTAATTGTAGAACCTGATCTTAAAGGAAAACCAAAAGCAAAACCACCCTGGAGCACCCTTTGTTGCATAAATTTCTGCCCTTAGCCCAAACGTATTGCAAAACCAGGGGTCGTCACCAAAATATGGTAAACGTACACTTTTTCCTGCTTCGAGCGTTTTTCCCAACACCGGGCTGGTCGGTCCTCCAAGATGATTGGTCGCTGAATATTCAAAAGGAGCGAGCAGAAATCGAAGTGCAAAACGAGCGCAAATATCAGCAAAACGAGCGCAAATATCCGCAAACGAGTGCATTTTTTTTTTAAACGTAACAATCCCGCCTTCCTCTGGATGGAAGAAGGGGATGTGGTCGAGCGTTTTTCGGGGGGCGAGCGTTTTTTGGGGGGTCGAGCAGAAATCGGTAATTCGAGCGTGCCTCAGGACCAATAAAACAACCAAAAAGAGACACACTCAAATGCTGTCCTGTTGCTGCTTGGTTCCGCTGCGTTGCTGTTTCGGACGTGATCTTGGCGCGGCGTGCCCAAATTCAGCTTGGTCCCGTGGTGCCCTGGATTTTCCTTTTGCAGATCACATTTTGTGCAAAGGCAATCCCATTGTGAAGAACCACTAGGGCGAATTTTACAACCCTTATTCTAAAAAAACACAAAACTACTACAAATAAACAGAACCAACAGCAGCAAAGGGATTGGCCCTTAGTAACCTTCATCTACCGGGTTTTGGGCGAGTGGCTCAAATGAACAGAACCAACAGACAAAACCTAAAAACTTGATGCACCAACACACAAAACTTAACACCTGGATGCCAACAGCAGTAGCTACAGCCCCCTACTGCAAATAAACAGAACCAACACTTCCATTTGCTCAAGCCCCCTGGAAAAAATGAGAACATATTTCCAGTAGTGATAGATTCCCGTCAAAAACCAACAAGGGAAAATTACACATATTATGAAGCAAGCGTACGCACTTCCAGCTCCCGTCCTGGGCCCAGCTCCTGAAGAAGCTCACGACCAGGAAGAGCATCAGCGCGGACCAGAAGCCCAGCAGCCCGGCCGCGTTCATGGTGTCCGCCTCACCCACCCGGGACACGCACGTAGGGAGCGGGCCAAAGGCGCCAAATGGGTGTGGCTCAAAAATAAGGAGCTACGGCAAACCGCGGGTTTTCGTCTTTGGTTCCATTTCCCACTGGGGCCATTTTGGTACATGTATTTAAGCCACAGCCAAATGTAGAGAATGAATCAAATGGACCGCGCTTGAGGTTGAGCCCATGCTAATCAACCCCTTTTTTTTGGTTAGGGGGCGGCTCTGGGGTTTAGTGCTTTGCGACGTCCTGAGTCATTGTATGACTTGCTGACCTTCCAGGTGGTTCCCTATCTAATTTCATGGCCTCATGACTTTTTGCACAAGCCCAAGAGGTAGGGCTCAACGACCGCAACTTCCATTTGGTCAAGACCCCCAGAAAAAATAAAAAAGAAAAAAACACCAGTAGTGGTGACTTCCTTTTAAAACCAACAAGGGAAAAACAAAAAAAAACTATTCGTAAGCTAAATGGAAGAAGATCCGAGGCCGCAGAGTTCGACCTCGCCCCTGAGGCGGCGCACCCAGCGGCACGGCATGCAGCACAAGGCGAGGAAGCACACGTGCATGTCCTGGCCACGAGGAGTCCAGCCTCCGATTTCAGAATTTCAGCAGTGAGAAAAGCCAAATGGTGGAAAGCACGGGCGGAGTTGGCATCAACATGGTGTAGAGATGAAGCTAAGTGCGTCCATTCTGAGCATACAGTATGCCCGTTCAAAGAGGAGCCCATTGAACTCGACAATGCCAGGATCTCAGGGATCTCCAGTACAAGAAAAAGGTGAATGTTCTTGTCATCAGCCACAAACATGCAAGGATCAAGCAGGCTCCAACTCCAATGACAAGAGTTGGTCGTCCACATGGAGGGTCCCCTTTCAGGTTGACAATATGCTGCGGGCAACGTCTACATGGTTCCCCTGCAAAACCACCCCCCAAAAGAAGCACCAACCAAACGAAACAAAGACGTTGAACTTCAAAACCAGGGCACCAACAAGGAAAAAAAAGGCGAGATATGCTACCCCTCACATTTTCAGGCCCTCACATGCCCCAAACCGGAGCTTCGCTTCGGCTGCTTGGTATTCGGCAGTTCACCAGTCCTCCAGGCAAGAGAAGGCACCATGCTCGAAGTGGTCCACCGGTTCTTCTGCCTAGCAATAGCTTCCGTTCAGCTTCCCTCTAGAAAGGCAGGGATGAGGGCCGGTTCCCATTTACCCTCTACAAAGCAAGGGGTTCAAATCCAGACTCCAAACCTGAGCGCCTTCAACTGGATCCAACCAAAACACCATCAGCGCAGGGCAGAAGGATCACTTGAGGCTCGTAGGTATGTGTCATCACGCATACCAGCGTCAAATGAAAGTGTTCACTTTCCTAACGCCGGAGACCTACAGTGGTTGGTGTCCCTTTGCTTCCCCTCTGGAATCTTTATGATCCTTTGGTTTGTCTTTGGTTTCTCTTTGGTTTCCCATTGGTTTCGCTTTAGTTTCCCCTTTGGCTTCCGTTTGGTTTCCCTTCTGGTCCCCCGCCAAAAACAGAAGAAAAACAAAGTGCCTCAAGAATAATACACCCGTGGTAAGACTTGCATCAGGAGGCGGTGCGAAAGGGAGGCAGCCACCCGCAAGCGTTCCTGAGGGGATCGACCCAGACACATCCAAATGGTTTGCTCAAGACTAAATTGAAGTCACAACAGTGTAACACATCCAGCATACTCGAAAGTGAGAAGATGTGAGGCTTGATCACCCCAAATCCTGAGGACTCACCGCGAGCTCCACACCTGCACATCGATCTCCGGATCTTTCCAGAGCTTGGTGTAGATGAAAGCCAGGCCAACAACCTAAGACGCGCTCAATTCTGGGTACCCGTAAAGAAGGGGTTCCGCATTAAAATCGCGTAAAAAGGGCACACCCCTTTGGTCCTCCAGAGAAGAACAAAAAAATCGGCTTGCCTGTGCGTGGATCCTTCCATGCAAACCCAGCTTAACAACCAAAGTGAAGCACAGTGTGTTGAATGCGGCGCCCCGTCCCTTGTGTCGGTCACTCCACAGTTGACAGGCGTCTTGAGCAGCAAAACATGTGCCTTTGGATTGAACAAGAAAATTGCAAGCTTTGCGTGACGATAGCCCGCTCTGCCCGGCAAGAACGAGGCATTGTTCAACACTTGCATCTTTGAAACCGGGGGAGATATGTTTACAACGCGCACGCGCACAATTCTTTCGAAACGTTGTTCTGATTTAGGAATGCAAGGCTGATACAACTCCCTCTACTAATCCAAAGACATGACATCACATGCTCTTGACAAAACAACTTCGCCCTGTTGGTCTGTCAGGAGGCCTCCTGACCCCTTCTCTATCCGGGCCCATCTCATGCTTGGGTGCCCTTCCCGCTTGGGATGGAGGTCTCAAACCGAAGGCGTCATTTCGAAGCAAGCTTCCATCATGCAGTCCGAGACGGGCGCTTTCAAAGCTACCCCAGTGGCCATGGGGAAAAACAAGAGAGCGCGGCCCTGTTTGCGGTCGAGTTTAAAGGGAATCCCTTGTAAGTTCATGAAAAAAGGGCACCACCGCTGGTCTGGGAATACTAAAATAATCCCAATGTCTCCAATTAACTATCTAATATTAATTATATTAAAAAAAAAAAAAAAAAAAAAAAAAACATTATCACTTCAATAGTCAATATTATTTAAAATTCAATTTTCACAATATTTAATTTATATATATATATAAATTAATTAACGAAACAAATCAGTCAAACACTAGCAGTCGACGTCCGACTTGTTCAAACAAACACCAAAAGGAATCCCGTTGCACCTGTTTTTGAGAGGAGATAATTACCCCCTGTTTTGTTTTCCTCGGAAACTGACGAGCGGCCGTGGCGATGTAGATCACGAAGACCATTGCCATGGTGCCCACGCTCTGCCATGCCTTGCCCTGCTCCTACGCCGGACAAATTGGGGCGTTTGAACGCCCGAGGTCTCGCACGAAAAAATGGGAACCCAACTTTACAGCCCTTAGTCCGGGCTTGCAAAACCTTTGATTTGTTGCGGCCCACCACCAAAACTAAACAGAAGCAACAACAAATCCTGTCCACGTCCGGGAGACGAGTGAGCCCTCACGTGCCTCCCAAATTGACCAGCCGGACATTCGAGCATGATAGGTTCCTAAGGAAAAGCCTTCCCATGTGGGTTTCATGCTGTAAAGGCCGGGCACTGAAAAGTTTTGAGGCCGTGAAACCCTAATCTTCAATCAGGAAACCCGTTGCAGCTGTGCTGTCTTAGTCTTTGGTAACGGTCAGGGTTGAACAAGATGTTACGGTATAAGCAAAGACGTGCAAGAGATCTTGAGACTTGTTGAGCCATCAACAGACTATCACGTTCTCAGGTTGCCTCGGCGTCTGCAAAGCAATTTGAAAGGACTACCAGCTGCGCGTCAGCTGGAAAAAGATGCACTTGGAACATCTTGGAAGCAAACAGATGGGACGCAGGATGCGGCAAGAGCCTAAACTTGGCATTCTTGCCATCTCCGCTCCATCTATGCTCCTTCCAATTCTCTCCACATGTCTGGAGGAAGCCACCCTTGTGAAACCAAGCCTTGTGCCGTCGTGACTGGCTTGCTCCACTCCACGTATCACGGAAGGCTCTGACACCTTCATCTGGCTATCT